CCTCTCATCCAAAAGCACTTCTAAGTTAATAGATCTAACAACTGCAATATTTTCTTAGACATATGTTATTCCCTGCCATGCTGACAACTTATAACTTGACCACATAAAATTTCACTTACAGGTTTAAGACATGAATACCTACACGTTTGATGCTTGCAGGGGTTTCAAATAATTTTGTAGTAGGGCCTGCGATATTACAAAAAAATAACTGTTAAATCTAAAGCTCAAAACATTCCTCCCTGGCCAGTGCACATATATATCTCTTTCAGTGTTATTTAAACAAAAAATAGATGTATCTGTGCAAAAAAAAAAAAATTCCGGTATGTAAAATTATGTGAAATAAAAATGTGTGACCTGTATATTTCCATTTTACAAATTAAAACATGTTCAATAAACCTGTAGACTGTGGGTCAAAGGAAGAGTATCTAGACTATAAATGAGGACTTACTTGCAGTTCACTAACATGGGCTCTCTCTGTATCCAATATATTTTGAACCACCTGTAGTTACAGTAAAACATCAAAAACTACTTCAAAAAAAAAGCCGAGAAAACAGGCAATCAACAAACCAGGCACTGGGGGAACAAACGATAGCCTAAGAGCAGATGGCCAACTGACCAGATGAATATGCTACCCTATGCAATGCAATGCAATGCAACGCTATGATATGAAACGATACAATAATAACTGAAAACTTGTCTCAGTCCAGGGACTTTGGCTATGTACAGACATGTTTTTGTTTTTGCAACACTGTCCTGCATAGAGAGGAAGATATTAAGCTCAAATGATGTTCTTCTTGCTTCAAACATTTTGTAAGTTCAACCAGCAACAACCCGATGCTCATTACACCCCAAATACTTCCATTAAGTACTGACAATTTTTATTTTGCTGACTGGAGTCCTTGAAGATTTGGTTGGACATGTATACATGTTATGTTCAATTTTTCACCGATTCCCAAGAAACATATATATTAATCATTTTCTGTTTTAATTGTTCTCCCTAATTCATAGCACCTCTGATTCATCAAAACAACTTCACAGTAACAA